TCTACAGCACGTTTGAAATGTTGAATAGTAATGATAATGTGAAGCATATTTATGATAATATTAGTAGTGATAACAATAATGATAATGATAATAACAGTTTTTCACATTTATTTTCATGCTGCTCATTTGTGATTTCTTTGTACACTTAATTCAAAACGAAAGCGGAAATTGAATCGAATCGCTCATTCGCTGTTTTGATACACCCAAAAATACCACTATGTTCCCATAACTGAATAAATATGAGACTATCCATAATATATCAGAGCTTAACTGCCTTCTTAGAACCCTTTATAAGGAAACGAGCTCAATAATGTACGTACTTAACCCAATCATTACTCTCACTATATCTTTCACAATAAAATCATATTGTATGATTCATAATTTATGCAAAATATCGGAGCTGTCCTTGTGATAACCTGTTTATTTAGTGAATTGATTTATAATATGCATATTGTTGCTTCACTAAACTTTAACAGCTTTGTATGCTTTCTGTATGTATTCAATAATCTTGAATAGTTTACCAACTGATCTCTTTTCGTGAACATAACCCAGCAATGCAACTATTGAGAGGTTCTGCGAATAAACTAAAGCCGATAAAATCATTTCAGTGAATCTGGTCCTGATCTGTTGCTAATGTCGGTTGGTGGCAACGATATTGGCTACTCGGAAATTGTTTCAACATTGATTTGGGGTGAATCGTCGTCACTCTTTGCATCAGTCGATATGCGTTTCTTTTACGCATCCTATCAACTCGATCGAATCGCTGCTTCACTGCATAAAATCAAACCTCTACAAGTACGTTCAAAACGGCACTGCACTCGACCAATTCTGCAAAATTCCTGAACAGATTTGTTCAGTGTCCTTCGAATCACTTTCACTCAACGCTTTTTTTTGCGCCACTTCAAAACCACCATCATGAGAGAGCGAAAGAGTAACAAACATTTCCGATGTTAAATGAAGTGAAACACGAAATGGGAATGTAGAATGCTGCTTGAATATGCATATTTCAAGTTACATTCATGGAATTACCAAATCTCCATTTCATTTCATTTTATGCATCAGTTGATTCAACGATAACAACACGTATTCAGTGCACACACACAATTTTCGTTATCAATAACAAATTTTGTGATTCAGATCGTCATACCGCATTACTTCGACGTAACACGCAACGAAAAAGGCATCATTGACGCTAACTGTGATGAATTACATCAGGTTCATAACAGTTTCTAATTCAATTTCTTTCATCATTGAAGCTAAGAAAATGAGTGAATGGAGTCTAGTCTGATCCATATGTCATCTGATCCACCTCATTGTTCATGCAATAATTCCACAGCCGTACCATAAAGCTGCTGTTCATGCCCCTCATTGCTGGCTAGTCTTATTCTCCCATAAATAAGTAATCATCAGACTGGAATATCAATTAACCGAAATATTCATTTAATCAATAAACATTGATTAAATACTCATTTGATCAATGTTATGATCATAAATTGATCTTGACACTTTACGGTAAAACACCTGATATCTTGACAGCTTATGGTAAAACACAACTTTTGGTTGCACTCCATTCTCAGCACTCATTTGACAGTTATATCACAAAAGTTTCATAGAGACAATGCCTGAAACCCTTGCATAAAGTGTTTGATTTGGGTATTGTGTGAGCGATTTTTGCGATATCCGAATGCACGCACCATTGTTGGGTGTGTGAAATTTTGTCTTTGCCATCCAACTGATCTGTTTGCTTGTTTAGATTAGCACTGAGAATTTGCGAATGGCTGAGAAGAAAATTTTACGACGAATCAACAAATTGCTCTCGAAGAAGTCTCAAGAATACGGATGGAAAGTTATCGAGCATATTGCCGATATATTCCATTCGCGAGGATTGTGCTCGACAAAATCTTTTATTCGGTTTGTGTCGTCGTGCTTCTTCTCTCTTCTGCATTTCATTTTGTTCCACTTCATATGCTTATTTCCAACAATAAGGGAACGAAACGGCTTGCAGCCAATTTTTTTCGGCAATATTTTAGAAGTGTACGCGATTCGATACGTTTACAAGGCAACAGTCTTGGTGCATTTCATCCGATCGAAGAGGCACATCAAAAGATTGCCGATATTATTTGGCAACAGTTGCAGCACTCAAATAGTTCCAGCTAGTTTTGGATCAGTTCGTTACGCCGTGAATCGATCAGACACAAGTTTGATCACTGACCTGATCATCGTCTAAACAGCTTTGTACAAATTATTTATTGCTTTGTTGATTCGATTAGTCGTATTAATTGTGAGATATATTATCGGTGATTAGATACTGTTCATCAAAATCAATCAGCTTTGTATTGCTACAGTTTTGATAGTGGCAGAAAAATTGGGTACAATGAGGAACAATGAAACAAATTTGATTTTGATGTCTTTTCTTATTTTTCTGCGAAGGAATTCATTTCTATTGCGAATCGATACTGTATGTTTCCCGTCGATTATCTTTTTTG